GGAAAGAAAATACGTTTAGTATAGATCCCCGATGTCTATTTTGCCCAGTGCCAATGTACACCTGAAACACAAAATCAGCCTATTTGATTAAAGTATTTCTGTGGAATTCTTTATATTTCTATTACAATATATACATTATGTGTGGATATGAGTGCTTGTAGGTCCACTTGTAGGCTTACAGTAGTTTAGGTTTGTGTAATAATTCATTCTCTCTCTCTCTCTCTCCCTCTCTTTCTATACACACACACAGACACACACACACACACACACATATATATATATGGGCACTGAATCATAGATCCTCTTGATTAAACAATAAATATATTCTGGTGTTCTTATTTTGCATTATGAGTGCAAATTCACACTCCAATTATATTACAATATCTGTAGTTCGTACCTGCTAGAATAGACAGACTGAATCATGCCGGGTGGCTGTATAAATCCAAAAAGAATTAACTTACAGCAAGCATGTGGCAGGGCATCCAAACCAAAAACGTATGAACAATAACAAAGGAGCAGCGCCTTGCAAAACCAAACAGTAAATTGACAATTCAAATCCTCATATTCTTTATTTATAAATAATAATCATTCATCAATAAATATTTGCAATTTTGGGATAACTCACAAAACAGCTATGGCTCTCTTTTGGCGGCATTCGGGTCAAAGGGGAGGTACTCCTGACTCCGCCTCAAGACGCTCGATCCGAGTGCATTTCAGGGCTCGTAGACACACGTAATCAAGCATTCTGCACACCATCCAAATCATTCAAATTTGAGCTCGCTGCCGAGTCATACACGACTGACCCATAATCTACTTTAAAGCTAATCAGGGCTTCATATATCATTAGCAAAGACTTTATATCAGCTCTCCATTTATGAATCATAACCAGTGCCAGTTGGATGCGATTTGCCGAAAATTCTGCATTACTCTTGGAATGTCATAATGCGCAATTATTAGCGTGCTGTCCGTATTTAAGATTCCGAGTTCGGACTGGTAAAATGTCACTGATCATAAAAAGAAATAAGGTTAGTGACAAGACACTTCTTTGTGGGACCCCGTTTGCCAGGACAAAAAAGCCAGAAGTGACATTGTCGGAAAATAATTTGTCTGATATGAAATTTTAAATAAAACAAGGCAAGTTTCCACGTAATCCAAAGTGAGTAGGCTATATCGCCCACGTCGTGTCTATTTTCTTTTTTTTCTATATCTAAAACTACTGAATTAAAAAAAAAAAGAAAATGTTGTCCAGCTTCAGTAGATGATCAAGAGTCTGGCGTCCCTTTCGGTAACTGCAATAATCGTCAATTAGCCTCCTGTTAACCCATCGCTCCATGTGGCAAGAATACATGCCATGCCCACGGTAATACAATTTTATTTATTGTATATACACACAGATGGCTCTACAAGTGTTTAGTCACCAAGAAGTCTGTTATGAGTCTCACATGTTTACCCTTTTCCTCGACTTTTGGTGAGGGTCTTTTGCATTATTTAATTGTTTAAATGTTATTTAAATGTTATCGAGATTTTGATAACAATTTAATAATCATAACACCAGTATCAATAATATGAGTAACGATATCAACTGTATTAACAAGAAAAACACATTTTCCCGCCAATTCAAGGAATAGGGAAATCAGGATCGGTCTCAAGGGCTACTGATAGACTCCTTGCCGGCTAAGCACATGTGGAGTCATCCGTATGTAACGATTGCGATTTGCGAAGTTACAACTGTGTCTCCAACCCCCGACCCCCATCCTGAACCGTAACCTCTTACCTTCTCCCCCCTTATCCTCCTCCTCACTCTTTCTTTCCTTAGTCTCCCCTATACCTCCCTTTTGCTTTCGTCTCCCCCGTTACCCTTTTCTGCACCCTTTTCCTCTCTTTTCCTCACGACTTGCCACATCACCACCTTAATTCTCGATCTTACTAATTAATGGAGGCTCATGGAGGACACCCGGGATATCATATGTATTGTTGACAGCTTTTACTTTGTTCTGGGTTTTGTTTTACCGATTAAATGTACCGTTTTATTGATTTTACTTTATTTTTTAACGTCAGGTTCATCTGTTTTGATGTATTTTTATTGTAAGCTTTTATTTAGTTTGTTTTAATCCTTTTACTACTATCTATTGTTTGAATGATACTGTTAAATGATCTACGGTTAAATAATTGTGTACACGTGTTAGTTCAAATAACGATGACGTGGACCGCATGTACTAATACCCATGGAAAATAGATCCACACGGGAGTTGTCTTTGGACTTGGTGTTTGTGTGTACCACTGGATTACACTTTACCGTGGCGTCGCTGGATCAGCAAGAAAAGGTTGTGTTTGAGCCGTTTTTATATGCCAGTTAGGAAATGCTGGACGTGGGTAAATTAAAGTTTACAGCCTAATTTTTTTTTACATTGGCCATCACCAGCCAGGGATACCCCATTTTTAAAGCGCCATTGGGCGGTAGGAGATGGCGGGTCTGGAATTTCCCCTTCCTTTCAACGTG